GACGAGGCCGTTCAGAGACAGCGGAGACAGGCAGAGCCGGCCCGGCCCGCGCTCGTCCCTCCCCCGGCGGGAGGGCGGGCTCGGGCAGCGCCGGCCCCGGGCCGGGAGCTGCGCTCAGCCCTGCCGGGGTCATGTTGGGCGGCTCAGACCCCATTTGTGGTTTTAAAATATAAATTAGAATCCTAAGCAGCAGAGGTGTATTTTGTATTCAGTACATGGTGCACAGCGTTTCCTGACCACCCCCTGCAGGAACGTGTACCTGCCCATCAGTGTCCGTGTTGCCGCTCCCGCGGCAGCAAAGCCCTCCCGTTCGTGCTGCGTTACCCGTAGCGCCCAAGGGCAGCGGAACGGCTACAAACCATCAGGCACAGGAAATGGTCGGTACTTTGTATTACATTTCTTTATACCGTTAACGTTGTGTTGTCTCTTGGATGTCATAGGCAACACTGTAGAAAGCGCGACTGAGAACTAGAAACACAGGAGGACTCAAGTTCTGCCTGAATCTTGACTCTAGACCTGTTGTTAGTTGCTGTTCAGCAGCCGCATGACGTGCTGCAAGCACGTTTATAATAGCTTTTATCAATGTATAAAGTCTGTCAGGTACCCAAGTTTAGCTTTCGGGCAAAGCTTTACCAATTTGAGGGGTTTTACATAGCTATATACTGAGTCAAGTCAGTCTTACTGGTGTTTCTCAGAGTGGCTGAGTGACAGCTCTTTTCCAGGATACGCCTGGCAGGGACTGCAAAAAAGGAACAGAAGTGTGGTGCATTAACTTTTCTGCAAGAATTCTGACCATAAATACCTGCCAAGGACACAGTGATTCAAATCCCACTGTGTGGAAGGGCTCTAGCCCATTTTCTCCTAATCCCAGGAGTGTGAAGCATTAGGCCGGTGCAGCTCTGTCCCAGTAAGCTCGTGTGTCCTGCCCCGTTTCTGCGAAAGCCGCAGTGTTCCCTGGCAGGCGCGGTGCCCGTCCTGCCGGCAGCAGGGCAGCCCTGCCCTGGGCTGGCCAGCACTAGTGAGGAGGGAAGGTGTCTGCTACAGATGTGCTTCACAGCAGATAAGGACTTGGGTTACCAGTCAGATCACACAACACCAAGTTATTTATGCAGGCATTGACTTCTTAAGTTATCATTAACTTCTGATAAGGCTCTTCTGTATTAAGTTGCAGAGAGCAAGGTATTTTAGCCCAGTGAAGAGGATAATACTTGGATGCCACATTCTGCTACAGAGAGTTTTTTTCCCAGGTTTTGCATTAGAGAAAATGTGAAAACTCTGCACAACACAGCAATCTGTAGCATTGCATCTAGACCCATTTGTAGTTCCAGGTTTTTTTTACTTCAAAGTATTTGGCTGTAATAGTAACAACAAAATGAAATAAAATAGTCTGTTTATGTAAATGTAAACCATGATAATACCAGCAAGGGGTACTCTAGCTGTACTTTCTTTTTTCTCTCTTTGGCCAGAAGCAGTGACTTGGACTTGTTGTTTTGTTGGATTTTTTTTTCTGAAAAAGATGGGAAGAAAAGCTCTAGCAAGGCCAAGAAATATGCTGTATATTTAAAACTAGGTTGCAAGATAAGTTTTAGCTTATGTGATGGATACACAAGAGCCAATTACCTGAAAAAAGCTGCATAAGGATTTAACTCTATTTAAGTTAGGGAAGACATTCCCACTAACTTTATTATGAATTTTGAAAGTGCAGTTCTGTCCTTCAGCACTGTCCCACTGTAACTGCATGCAGACTTGCAAGGGTTTTGACTTAATATATTGTCTCGTGTTTCATCACTACAGTTACTGTTACAGAACTTGTATTAACTATATTAAAACTGTAATAACTTGACACAAGAGTGAGAAACAGCTGTAGAGTATTTAAAATACTTGTTGATTTAAACACATTCCTATTTCTCTAAACATGGTTCAGCATTTGAAATTTCCATATTTGTATTTCATATGGGTCAAATAAAAGTGACTAAAATGTTTAAAAAAAAGTTTATTACCAAAATACAATATTAAAGTCAATACGTGACAAACTCCTGTAAAGCAAAATAAATTATTCTAACATTGTACAGTATTTCAGAAGGTAGTTAAAGTAGTACTACAGACTTTGCTTCATAGTTCCAAACAGTTGTCTTTCAGGAACATAATCCTAGAGAGAGCTTAAGGCATGCAGCTTAATGTGCTGGATAATTTTATAAAATGAATGTAATCCTATTTGATAAGGTACAGTATCAGAATTAACTGCAGTCTTTACATGTCAGTTTTCTAAATTTTTTATACTTTGGCTATAAAAGCAGTGCCATAGTGTTACAATACCTCTTAAAAAAATACGTGTACCCATGTCCATGAATATCAAATGCAAATGTCAATTTCTATTAAATATATCTTAACAAATGTTACCTTGAGCACCAACTGTACATTTTAAAAAATGATTAAATAAGTGCTTCTGAAAGAGGAAAATACAATAATTCTGACTGGATCCCACTCTATTTTTCCAGGCCAAACATAAATCAGAAAGATGAAATATGCACCTATTTATCAGTATAGTCTAGTATGAATGAAATTTTCTCTTTAGCAGAAATAGAGGCATTTAAAACAAAGCTGCAAGTTATAGTTCATATACAGAATAAAATCTAATTTAAACAAACAGCGAGTGAATGACTCATCAGCTGATAGTGCTGTGACCAAAGAGCTGAAAACATTTTAAAAGCCTTAAGAAAGAGGAAGACTGCAGTGTTGGTGACTTTGAAATGTACTTAAAAACCTTTGCATAACATGCAACCAAGCCAACCATACACTTTTGAAGCAGATAACCTGAGGAATATTTTGCTTTCAGAAAAACGAAGTCTATAATTACTTCACATGCAGAACTTCCAATAAAGTTCCTGGGAACTGTGAGTGGGCAACTAATGGCAAGCAGCATGGGGATAGTTAAAAAAATAAATCTCTGTGCATATGGAAAAGGATTATTTGTTGGCATTCGTTAGGATTGATACTGGTTCTTAGAGGCAACTAACTCCCTACTATTTTATAGAAACACATGGTCAAAAAGAAAAAAGCAAGATGGCAAGGAACAACCATGAATAGATGCATCCTGGTTAGTAATCCCATTACAATGAGTCCTGATGCATTATACTTAGTGGTGCAAGCAAGGCTTGCACATAGACCCAAACTGTTAATTTGGATTCAAGGTAATTTGCTTCTTAAGTCTTGGTTCACTGTCATCTTCTCCTTAGCTTATGAATGCAAGTTTTTCACCATTTTATTTTCCACTGGCTGAGCAACTTTAAAATAATTAACCCTTTACACAAAAAAAATGTGGCAAAATATTGTTTCTGTGAATGCTGGCTGTAGTTTAGCATTACTAGATTATCTCATTGTACCTTTAATTTTTCAACAAATGGGATCTCAGAGTGAGAAAGTTGAGATATATTCCAGATAGTGTACTATTGTCACATGAATTCTATATTGAAAG